TATATTTTTATATTTTTATATATTTATATTTTGATATATTTATATATTGATATATTTATATATTTATTTATATCCTTATACATTTATATCTTTATATATTTATATATTTGAAAAAAAAATATTAAATTTTAAAAATAATATTATATTTTTAAAAATAAATATTAGAAAAAGATTTAAAAATATATATAAATTATATTTACATTTACAAAATATTAAAGATATATGTTTATATCTTTACATATTTTTATATATATTTATATGTTTATATTTTTACATATCTTTACATATCTTTACTAACGACGGTTGCACCATCGCTCGAGCGAGATTAGAGTCGCTCAGCGAAATACAACCCGAGAATGCCACTTTTGTGCGGGGGCGTTTCACTTGAGCTAGAATTTTTCGCTCAAGCGAAATACATTTTAGATAGCGGTTAGAAGGGAGCCGCTCTTAAAAGCTCACTTAGATAGCGGTTAAGCTGAAACCGCTATTATATGGTTTCAATTATGATCGGTCAGAATGCGATTATGACCGATCATAATTAAAACTTACATTAACTATTTTTTATATTATGTTTTTAAATTTTCTATTAAGAAAACCTTTCAGAATTTAAAATGTTAAATACTTTTAAATATTAAAATTAACTTTATAAAAAATTAGGAAAAAGAAATTAATCCAAAAGAGTTCAAAAATGTATTATAATATTGTCAATTTTGAGTTTAATTATATTGTTCATTCTCAAAGGAGAAAAATATATTGTAATTATTTTAATTTAATAAAATATAATTTAAAATTTTAATACTAAAATTAAAAGATTAAATAATAATAAATTTAATTCTTTAAATTCAATAGCTAGAAACTAAAATTATAGTTTCTCTGTTTGAAATAATTAAAATAAATATTTAAAAATAAAAATCAAAACTAGTATTATCTTAAATTTATTAAAAGTGTAATTAAATCTCTATTTTCTTAATTTTATTTGTTTCAAACTTCTCAATTCTACATTTTTGTAAGTTCTATCATTATATTATCATCCTCATCTCCTCCCATGTTCTACTTTATTTTTACAATAGATCAATATTCTTAACTAATTTATAGTTTTAATTATAATTTTTTAGTATATATTTGAAATTAATCAATTCTAATCTATTATTTGAAAAACTAATCAATTCTAATCAATAATTTAGAAAACTAATCGATTATAATTAATTATTTGAAAAAATTATCAAATATGATCGGTCATTTTGAAAATATAATCGATCAGAATCGAATTTCAGCTTGAGCGAGATTAGTTTCGCTCAGCGAAATACACCCAGATATCTAATATGCACTTTAGATAGCGGTTATGAGGAACCAGCTATTATATCCTCTAAATTATGATCGGTCATTTCAAGTTATGATCGATCAGGATCGTATTTCGCTCGGCGAGAGTAGTGTCGCTCAAGCGAAATACAACCCGAGAATGCGAATTGCGTGCAGTTGGAGTTTCAGCTCGAGCGAGAATATTGTCGCTCAACCGAAATACATTTTAGATAGCGGTTCCACATGAACCGCTCTTAAAAGTGCACTTCTAATAGCAGTTAACCATTAACCGCTATCTTAATTATACTTTAGATAGCGGTTTAGGTGGAGCGATATCATATCATCTCAATTATGTTTTGCAAATGCCTACAAATGTTTTTAACAATTAAAACACAAAGTATTTTGACAAAAGTTTTCTCAAATGCCTCTACAAAGTGTTTTTAACAATTATATTGAGTTTAATTCTACAAATTAAAAGATTAAATAATAATAAATTTAATTCTTTAAATTCGAGTAGCTAGAAACTAAAATTATAGTTTCTCTGTTTTAAATATTTAAAAATAAAAATCAAAACTAGTATTATCTTAAATTTATTAAAAGTGTAATTAAATATCTATTTTCTTATTTTTATTTGTTTCAAACTTCTCAATTCTACATTTTTGTAAGTTCTATCATTATATTATCATCCTCATCTCCTCCCATGTTTCTACTTTATCTTTACAATAGTCAATATTCTTAACTAATTTATAGTTTTAATTATATTTTTTAGTATATATTTAAGAAATTAATCAATTCTAATCTATTATTTGAAAAACTAATCAATTCTAATCAATAATTTAGAAAACTAATCGATTATAATTAATTATTTGAAAAAATTATCAAAAATGATCGATCATTTCGAAAATATAATCGATCAGAATCAACTATCGCTCGAGCGAGATAGACTCGCTCAAGCGAAATACAACTCGAGAGTACTAATTTTGTGCGAGGGCGTTTCGCTCGGCGAGAATGTTGTCGCTCAAGCGAGATGATGTTTAGATAAGCGGTTACGCAGAGCAGCTCTTAAAATATGACTTAGATAGCGGTTAACCCTTGAGCAGCTATTATATGGTTTCAATTATGATCGGTCGGAATGCATTTATGGCCGATCATAACTATTTTAATCGATTAAATCTCTTTTCAATCGATTAAAACAATTTCTCCACAAGCGTTTTAATCGATTACAACTTATTTTTATCAGTTAAAATAACTTGAAAAGTTTTAGGAGAAAGTTTTGCGATATTTCAATCGATTGAATCGCGAAACAATCGATTAAATCAACTTAGAAGATTTTTTGTAAAGTGTTTTAATTGATATAAGCGTTGTCAGTATCAGTTAAAACAAATGCTGTTAAAGAATCAAGAACGTATTAGTGGATTAAAAGAAGTTTTAACAGATTAAAGCTGCACTTTTAACAGATTAAAAGAATCTTTTAACAGATTAATTAAACCAGTGAGTTTTGAAAATCTTCTATAAAAGCAGTTTGGCTTGAACTTTTTTAACATACATTGAATATATCATCTTTAAAAAATAAATAAATTTATATATATATATATATATATATATTATTTTGCATTTTAATTTTCAAATATTAATTTTTTATGAAATTAATTTTAATTAAAAAAATTAAAGTGATATATATATATATATATATATATATATATATATATATATATATCCAACTATTAAATTATTCAAGATATTAATATAAATTTAAAATATCAATTCAGTAATTAAAATAATTTTAATTTTTTATAAATACATTGAAATACATTTTTATTAACATACAAGTAATATATATATATATATATATATATATATATAAAAGACTAAATTAATAATTAATTTAATTATTGATTTAGTGATCGATTCGATGATCGAATTAGTGACCGATTCGATGATCAGATCGATGATCGATCGATGGAATCAGTGACCGATCGATGATCAGGATCGATGTGACCGATTCTAGTGATCAGATCGATGATCGAATCGATGTCGATTCGGTGACTAATTTAATAATCAATTTTAATTTTTTTATTCACATGCTAAATAAAAAAATAAAATCAAATAATTATATTACTAAATTATTTAATAAGTTAGTAAACAATTTTTTTAAAATATTTATAATGTTATTAAAAATGTTATCAATTATTTTAAATTATTAAGTAAATTTATATTTAAAATATTTTAAATAAAATATTTATATAAATGAAAAATAGTTATCGATGTAAAAAATTATTTTTTAGTGATCTGAAATTTTAGTCACTAAATCAGTTACTAAATATAAAAAAAATTAATAATTACATAAATTAAATATAGATTAATTAAAAAAATAAATTAAATAATAAAGTGACTCGAAATAGTAGCTAGATTTTATGTGACCGAAAATTCGGTTACTATTTCGATTACTAGACTAAAAAATAATAATTTGGTTACTTGATTCGGTCATCGATAGTAACTAAATTTTTCGGTCAACGATTTCGGTTACTATTTGACATTTTTCTAGTAGTGTGGTCGAATATGAAGGGGTGAGTTTGCATAGAAGAGATCGATAAAAAGGCAAGCCACTTAAGAGAGTTTTTGGAGGAGTAGTCGGGGATAAGACGAGAACCCCACTTCAAAGTAATGTTAAAGAGAAGATCTAAGTTGATATAGATGAGAAGGACTGAGTTAGAAAACACAATGACACATTTGTGATGATTAAATTACTGAAATATGATCTGTCAATTGTGTGAAACAGATATTCAAGAAGGAGAGAAACTCTTTGTATTGGTATTTGATCGAGCTCAGTAAGAAGAAAAGAGATGAAAAAATACAAGGTAGTGGATATCAAGTTTAGGATGACTTATCGCAATTCGATATCAACCCCCATGGAACCAAAGATGAAAAGGTTGGACAATTACCAACTAAACAGGTATTCATAGAGTGATTGATGCAGAAATAAAGATGAATGATTAAAGGAATTTAGAGTGCTCAGAAAGAAGACGATGATAAGCTGGCTTGTAGGAAGCTCGAAAGTTTGGAGTTCATCATGTTTTAAATGTCAAGATATTTTAGAGTTAGACAAGTCGGGAGCCAAAAGGTCGGTATCAAGTTGATCTCATATTTTGAAAGCTTAAGCTAGATATAGCAAATTGGAAGTTGGGTGATAAGAGTGAAACCGATCTCAATTTTTAAATACGAGATAATTAATTTTATGGTCGAATTTTGTTAGGTAAAATTAATAATAAAATAATTAATTTAAAAAGTTTATTGAAATGTTTTGAGAGTGTTAATATTTTAGATGATTATTATTTTAATTCTTAATTACGGTAGAATGTTTTAAATTTTAAGAAGTTAATATTTAACAGTAGGAGTTGGAAATGTTTAAATATAAAGTTGTAATCCACTTCACGAAGAATAATAAAAGGTAAAATATTTCAATTTTTTGAAAAATTCTTTATTATTGGAAGACAAATTATTATGTGCACTTGGGTGCAAAGAAAAGACCTACCACACAGAAGTAACGTACTTCCATTCCAATTGCTACTTTTTATTATTTTCTAATGTCCTCGTTTTTGTCTCTGTATCCTAATAAAAGATAAAATATTCTGATCATGAACCCCACCTCCCATCTTATAAAGTCCGCCACTTTCTCTGCCACTTGTTATTAGTTGCTATCATCACTGCAACTCAAAAGCTGTGACTTGTGAATAGACACTATGCCTGCTCAAATAGACGACATCATCCTGGTGTCTCACCGCAAAGTAATCACCCTGCTTTGCCAAAACCTCACCATGCCACTCCAAACTTTCGCTCACTTTAGATTTTATTTGAATATTTGATTTCATTGAATCAAGCTTTCCCCTTTTTTATAAACCAATCATGAGAACACGACTTATAATAGCTTTTCTTCCCTCCCTTTTTCTGAATCATGGAAATACGGTACAAACTGAACGAGTTTACAGCCTCCATGTAGCATCCAACGTACATGCAGATATGAATCGTATATTTTAAATGGAGGGGCAATATATAAACATGCACATGTTTTACACATGGACACTGGTTAAAGCTTCTCTATTCTCAAAGACGACGTATTCAAGTTGAACAACCAGTTTCCTGCCAGAATGGACTAGCTCACTTATTGAATATAATGGAACTTTCAAACCAGAAACTGGTTATGCTCTTCAATTGTGTCTACAAGCACGAAAGTTTCACCCTTAGCTATGGAAAATTTCTGACATGTTGTCAAGGAGCATGTTAGGCCTCATCTGGATCTTAAAATGCCTTATATTATTGTATACGGGGTCTATGAAATATTCATATTTCACAGGTAAGAAGATATTATGATGACATTGAAAAAGTAAGAAGAATTTTGGAAAAAACAAAATGAGATTTTTTATAAAAGTTAAAGTTACTTTATATGCAAATTAAAAAGAAAGATTTAAAAAACTATCCAATATTCTTTATATTTTTCTTCTTATAAATTATCAAAGTCTTGTTCAAGCATATCCATAATTTACATTCGGTGTATTCATTCATTTGCCCAGGTAGTTTCTTTTTTAAAAAGAAAAAGCTTGCTTAGCATCATATTCACTTACAATATATTGGAAGACTTATCATGACATTGAAGCCATGCCAGGCACCATATACCCAGGAGCATCCAGTCAAACTCCCCTTCCGTGATGACAGAGTTGCAAGGTAGTAAAAACCAGTTATGCATTGTGTTCTATGCAAATCATATGTGTGTGACAAAGTCATGCCATTTACAGAGTTAGAGAGCAGCTTATAGAGTTGATCAGTTTAATTTGATCATATGCGTCATACTCAGACATGAAGTTATAAGCATGCATCTGATCTGACAACAGGGATATGGACAGATGAGCATGAGCAGTTTGAAATCACACAGACAACAGGTACAAAAGGGAAAGGAAAGAGATGGCATTGCCATGTATGTCAAAACTCATAAAGAAAACTAAATGTTTGGCAGAAAACCACAACCAATGGATTACGAATTCAATGCTTGCTTATTCTTTCTCCGAGTTCATAATCCAAAACAACAATGTTAATTCTCGTGAGTGCCAGTGCATTTATTGACAAAAAAAGAAGAATGAAAACAAAATAAAAATAAAAACGTGGGCTTGGGTTGTGTTTTCTGTATCAAGCACGTGGAAACCCACTTGAATAGTACATGTGCCTAGTTATTCTCACATCCCTCTTTGTTATTCCCACATCCCAATTAAAAGTAAAATATATGTATTATTATTTTTTATTTTATGTGATTTTATTTATTATATATAAAAATAATTTAATTAAATATATAAAAGCAAACCTTAAAAATAAAACATTAGATTATATGTTATTAAAATAGTCTAATCAAATGACGTTATGTTAGTGAGGAAGTATCATTTTAAATACTTCAAAGAGCTAGGAAAATCACAATGGAAAAAAGAAATTATCTTAACTTTTTTTGGGAGCTATCAGTGACATAACCATCATAGATTGACAAACTACGTAGCAGAAAAAACATACATGGCAAGGACAAGTTTTTATTGTATAATTCGAGTAATATACACACAAACTAAACAAGTTTTCATTCATATATTTCAATCAAATATTCAACTAAAACTTCGGTGGTTAATTTGATGTACGGGTTACTTTTTAAATACGTTACCTCTTAATAGTAATTAAGTTAAAAATGACCGTTTAACTTGAAATAAAATCAATTAGAATACAATTTACCCACTTTTTAATAGCAGTCAAATTAATTATAGCACAAATTACCTTTTAAAATGAATTATATGAATTACAATGCAAATTATTTGAAACAGTAATCAAATTAATTATACTACAGATTATCTTTTTTAATTAAATTATTTATGATACAAATTACTCTTTCAAAACATGTAATATTAGCACTATATACTTTTAATTATGATCAGTACTAATTATTCTCATTTTTCACAAGTGCAGAAAAATTATATATGATATAGATCTTGATCTCTCACCCACAAGCATCACCTAGGAAGAACCGGAACAAAAAATTAATCCAGCTCGTGCCACGTTCAATGCCAGAGTAAGTTCTACTGTCCAAAAATATATCAGATGATGTGAGTTTCTGTTGCTTGGTGTTTAGCAGTTTGAGCTTTCAATATCCTTCGCAAGGCATCATGACATCTGTGAGTCCAACCATCTGTGAGTCCAACCATCGAAATTGTCTAACATTTTAATTTAGTAATGAGAAAAGGATCTGGTAATTTGCCTTACCTCCAAGGAAGATGGTCAAGGAACATTGATGGTGAGACAATAATATCTTTGAAGCTTTCTCTATCTGCGATGTAAGCTCGATAACATTTTTCCCTCTCTTGCATTCTCCACGATGTTCTAAGATCAGTTTGAGATCTTTTCTTCTCCAGTACAATGTGAATCACGAAACCAGGTAGATACAGCTCTGGGGGGTCATTGGAAGACGGATTTTCAGAATCTGGAACAGTATCTATAAACTGAGACACTGGATCATCAATTGAACGTGCATCTTTAGCAAAAGCATTTGTAAATCTGGCATTATCAATTCCCACAATATGATCCCTTGCCCTAGCGTCAGACCAAAGTGAACATTCTTCATGCTCATTGTTGAGGCAATCTTCACTTTCAAAAGACGCGTATTCGCCATAGTTCGATATAACAAGGTTCCCTTTAATATTATGAAGCTCTTGTTCAATGCTGCCTGCTTCAATAATGGAAATCTTTTTAGATAAAGCACCTTTCACAAAAATAATAGGGGTAACAATATGTATTCTCCAACATGCCTACTATGTTATTAAAGATAAGATACCTTTATTATCAGTATCACACTGACTTCTGCGGATTTGATGGTTTAGATTATCCTGGATAGCCCCTGAATGATACTCGGATTCATCCTCAGCCTTGGTCTTATTTCTCTGATATTTGCTTAGGTATAGAAACCTACGAGCAAGTCTGAAAATCATGGCACTATCTGCTTTAGGATCTTGTGATAGTGATGTGATTGCAGCTGCCCTTAGCCGCATAACGGATCCAATTGAAAGGCGTGATGAAAATTCATTTCCAAATATGATGCTGCATCATAAAGAATGAAAGCAAGCAGAAAGGAAAATAAAAGTGTTACCCAAAGAGAATCAACAAAACCAAACATTTTACTAGTACAATACCTTGTCACAAATTCCGAACATGCATTTGCCACAACTAAATCCAGACATGGGAGTGGACCGTATGAATAAACGTGCAGATTAGGGTAGCGGCTATAAAGCTGTGCAAAAGCTCAGAATTTATTTAAAAATAAAATGAAATGCTTAAAGACGGCAGCATAAAAAAGACAAAAATGCATCAGTGCTGGTTAAATTTTCAAACTTGTAGGATACTATTAGCTAGTAAAAAATAAATGATGCATTACTAAAGGAAACAATAGTGATTTAATGACTTAAATAAGAAATTGTTTACAGCTGAGTTTATTAAATAATTTTGTAACATGGTGACTTAAAAACCCTAAAACCTTAAAATATGCCAACAACAGTAGTTCTTATTTCTCAAAAAGATCAGGAAGTGCAAGGTACTAAGGGATCCAGCAATCCAATCACCACACTAAATAAAATGTATACCTTGTCGAAGAATTAAATTTAGAGAAAATATTTAACCAATTTCCTTTATCAATTTGAGGACAAATATATAAGTGGAAACAAAATAAATGCTTTTTCTTTTACATATTCAATATTCACAAGGTAAGTTAGCTTTTAAGTTCTCCCTGATTTACAGGTTTCACCTTAGATTTTTGGCTATGTAACAAACTCAATACAATTGGGATGTTCACATATAATTCCAATATCACATATATATTTTGTTGAGTCGAGTCTCTTCTGATGAATGCCGGTTTTAGTTTTAATTAGAGCAACTCCTTACTTGAGCAACACCTAATTAAGATTCCGAACTTGAGAATAAGGAAGATTTAAGGCCAGAATTCAATCCCTTGCTATTGACCAAGCCAGTTTCATATTTGCATCTACAATCTTATTTTCTAAGGAAGCAAAGAACATTCGTTTTTCATATATATTCTTTTCATAATAGACTTTCATGAACACCTATTTCTTTGGTGCATCAAAATAGCAAATTATGTTTACTAAAGAAGAGTAGTAAGTAACTATTTCGATTTAAGTGAGAAATGTCATACTTGCAGTCCAAGCAATGCAGCTATAGCGCCCCCAAGCGAATGCCCAACTATGCGGACATTATACCCAAAGCATTCACAACCAAATCCCAGTAATTTAGAAAGAAGTCCATAAGATTCAGAGTCTGCATTTCCACTTCGAAAAACAATTGTTGTCAAAAATGTTTATTTTATGTAATTAAGTCAAATGTTTTAAATTATCAATTTTAGTTCTGTATATTGAACTGATAAAAGGTATTATGTTTTACTTAAAAGGTCTTGTTAACCTGTGCCCTGAGGGCACTGGTTAAGGAATTAAAAGAAAAAAGTTCTTATTAGTAAATATGTGACAATGTCTTAGAAAAGCATAGGTGAACACATTTTGATGCATCCCAATAAAAACTTTCCCCTTCTAATTCCATTAACCAGTTTCCAACTTGAATTACTTCAATGGTGAAGGAAAGAAGAAGAAGAGACAGTTTGATATTACGAACTCTCCAGAACCAAGAACCATGAGTTTAAAAAACTAGAAGTATTTCTTACCAGGCCTTTCAGGATGTCCTTCAATCTGCATAAAAAGCTCTCGTGCAGCTTCAACTATGCCTGAATGCCCATAGTGGGGGAATGATGAAGTCACATACTTCTTTATATCATAATGAATATAATTGCAACTGCAAACAAGAACATAAAATATTGAAGTGAGGGGCCAGAATATTGTCTTGGAACATAGAAAAATATATACAGTTTTGGCCCATATAAACTATTACGCATCGGAACTGAAACTGTAAGATATATAGCAGAGATGCTTTCTGCAGTAACTCAATAGGGATGTCATTACTCGTTAGCCTTTGTTTATAAACATAGGTTATAATCATGCAGCATAGCACAACATGTCAAATTCCTTTTCCAGGATATGTATGTGAAAACCAATCTGACAACACCGAGGATATGCAGTTAGCCAAAAATTTAGAATTTCAAATTGCATCTTAAAATTTTGAGGATTGTTTATAGCTTTGTGTATTGTTCTATCAGCTTCAGAACAGTGTACTGACTCAAAAAAGTTATTCTGAAAACAAAACTAGGCCATTTTCTTGGTGCTTAAAATTTTATTATCCCAGTATTACCTCCATAAGCTTCCCACTTTGTCTCCTCATTCTTAGGGCACAAGCTATGGGTTAATTAAACATGTTATCATCATAAGCAGTAACAAAATAAGCCTTTAGTTAATTGAAACAGTATCTCCTTGAATCTTGATCGATTACTTCCAAAACAAATGGCTGGAACTGATGCAAATATTGTCCTACAGTATATCCAGTCAATAGGCTTGTTATTTGTGATTTTAGTATAAATGTGATAAACACAAAATACTAACGCAATTTTGTATTCCCACTCAATGGGCTTTCTCTCTTCTCACTTATTCATCACACTTACTAGTTCCTATTGAAGATACAATATGCAATCATCAATAAAAATACCTATCACAACTCCAATCTACAATAGCTCAAGGATTGCAATAAACCTTGCATAGCAATTATGCACTATTTATTAACAAAACAGAGCATTTGCCAACAAAGTAACCATTTTATTATCATAGATACCAAGAACAAGAAGATCCAAATAGGATATAAGAATAAATACAGACAAACTGACATTAATAAGAAAGTTGACAGTAATAGTTATTGGATTCTATCACCCCCCTCACCTTTTCTGGGAAAACTTGTATGTACATTCAATGTGTTATGGGATGTAAGTATTAGTGTATTACAATGTTAACAACCTGTGTGAATTTTATAAATGAATTAATTGGGAATTTAGTGACTTTTCACCTCCACCCTAGAGTTATCTATCTATTTACAGAAATAGTCAAAGGGATGAAAGGAGGAAGAGTGAAAAATACTTGATCAAGCCAGCCAAGTCATCCGCAGAAAGGGAGCATTCCTTGCATAACCCATCAGTTATTAGGTCCTCTGGGGTTTCAGTTCCACGTATAGCAATTACTACAGATTGTAGATGATGTAGAACCACAACAAAATATGCAGCTTCACACTTGACCTGGCATGGGTATCTAAATAATTAAATATAAAGTAAGGCAGTATAGTATAAAACAGAAATATTCATAAATCATACATAAATTTAGTATATTATCATCTAAAGTTGGATGGAGCTGAGTTTGCCCACATTTAAAGTAAAAAATTTACAACCATTAGGAATCAAAATAATCATACTATTTTTGTTCCTGACATCTTCCTTTTTTTGTGAGTATTATGTTATTGATAATGAGCTCTCGTCAATAAAATTAAAACATTAATGGTGGCAACCTCTTTTAAGCAATGTTATTTATTACTATTGATATTCATGCTGGCTTGTCCTCTTTAATTTTGTAAAAACTTAGTGTACTTTTGTACAGAATTTTTTCGTTTGCAATTTTGTATGGTAAGCCTCTGTCTGCTATGACTCAAGCACCGTAGAGATTATTTGGATGTTTAGTTCTCTAACCTGGTTCACTCGCCCCTGTCTAAGCACTTCTGGAGGCAAATTGGTGTACTTTAGAAAGGCCGCAGCATGACCTCTCCACCAGTTATCCCCATCCAGTATAGGTCGTCTAAGAAGATATGAAATAGGAACATAAAATCACAATGTTGAAGATGAAATTTTTTGAATTTGTAAATTGAAAAAGTTGTAATGGCAAGGTAGAGAAGGAGACACACAAAATGGAGGAAATCCAAAGATATATAAATCAGTATGCTTGAGAGCCAATAAGTTCTCAAGAAAAATATCAACAACCATTCAGAAATTTCTCTTGAAAACACTAGTGTATGCATAGTGGTAATTGAGTAAAAGCAAGTACATAATCAAGGCCATCTTGACCAAAAAGGTGTAATTAATACTCATCCGATACCATGCAAATTAAAACGTTCATTCTACTGAGAGAGTGAGAATTCAGTTATAAAGACCTTAAAACTGAATATCCAAAAAAATGCCACCTGTTTCGTGTCCAAGGAGAGAAAACCCCTTGTCTATACAACCATGCACAAGGAAATACAAATGGATTTCGTCCAACATCAAGCAATGGACCCTGCATTAAATGCAAGATATATGTTCAAAGCAAGTTAGTAAAAGAAAACCATTAAGATGGAAATAGTTTGTTATAGTAATACTGTGTAAGCAGCTTCAGCAAATTTATGAAGAGCTTCAGCTTCCTTAATTCTCATCTCTGGTGCTTCCATGGATTCTTCATAGGATTCTGTAGATTTTTCATGGTTTTGAAGTAAAGCTAAAGCTGCATAACAAAAAGCACAATGTCATAAACTACAAAGAGGTAACGCGCAGGTGAAGTTAAATTGGTTCAAGCTACATGCCTAACGAAAAAATGGCAAGGTCAACGCTATTGTAATAATATGCCACACCATTCATCTGAAAGATGACCATTAGCACAAATACTTCTATTTAGATCATAGAATAAATCCTTCATGGGCTACACCCCTCAACTTGATCAAGTCAACCAGATGTGCTTCTGATCCCAACCATTGGAGAACAGCAGCACAAATGGAAGGCAGTTGACGTATTAGCATTTAGCAAGTATGGTAATTAATTGAATTTATGATGGGAAAAAAAAAAGAGAGAGAGAATTGAGTAGACCAGTAAACAAGGAGTGGCCTCTCCTATTAGTGAAAAATCTTTGATAAGGCTTGGTTTTAGATAACTGTTGTTATATTGTGTGTTAAATTCTTATGCTTTGTTTCAAGGAGGATATTAAATCCGCCTTAGTTTGCGTAGTAACCCTTGTTCATTTTCTTCACAAGTATTTGATGTGCGTGGCATTGCTTGAACTAAAAAAGTTCCCTTGAGAACCATGTTATGCGACATATATAAAGCATAAAAAGGCAACACGTTTCAGATAAAAATTATAAGAGACCTGCCAAGAGTTCCAGATGGCCAGTTCCGGAAGCACGATAAGCGACAAGATCACCTAGTAATCGTGCAACTGAATAGACTTCATCTTCTTCGGCTGTACTCCTGTGTTAGTTATTAAAGGAGAAGTGGTGAGATGTAGTGAGAAACTTTGTGAGGTAAAAAAAAGAAGGTAAGGTAAAGTTATATGCGTATACAAATATTTGACCCGGCCTAGACAACACAAAGTCTCACGTATGCCATTGTCGAAGACCTCGCTATAGTGAGATTTCCAAGCGTGATCGCGGGCCTCGTAGAAAGACCTCCATTTGATAACATCGGATCCCGTGAAGCACTGGAGTACGGCAAGGAAAGAGACGAAAATGATGAATATAGCTAAAAAGCCGTGGTTCCATGGGGAATCTGCATTACAATGGTGAAGATTGAAGAATGAATGGGTGGAAAGAAGGATAGAGGAGAGCGTGTTCCAGAACTGACTCACCTACGACCTACCTAAAAGACAATGATTGGAGGTGGACGAGTGGCGCGTAGAGTCGAGCAAAAGGAAAAGCGCAAAGAGAGATTGAAGGACGATAACAACAGCGGAACATCGATTCCAGCAGAGCCATTTCTTATACATGGCCTGTGTATTGATGGATGGGAAAATGAGGAATGAGAATGGAAAGAAAGGTGCATTGTGATGTGATGTGATGCGATTCGATTACCCACCCGTCTGCGGAGGCGTATGAGGAGATCGTTGGAGTCTTGAAGAATGAGGGTGGCAGCGGCTTGTTGGGCGAACGCGGTTTGGAACATGACTACAACCCTAATGGGAGCGGCAAGGGAAACGAAGAGGAATGGAAGGAGGAAACGACGAGGACAGAGGTGGTGAGTTCGGAGGATGAGGAGGCCACCCATTAGAACCACCGCCAGGTTAGAAACTCCCACAGCCAAGCTCCACCATCTCAGGTTTCTCACTGCCAAGCCCATACCCGTACCCGCTACCTGCACCTATCAAAATTCAAATCATCCATCGCTTTGCTTTGCTTTGCACAATTCCCCAATTGCATGCACAACATGACTAAAAATCTTGCTTTTTTCCTCCACCCACGGGAATGGTCAACAATCCTCAAACTACACACAAGCACAACACAACCATTAAATTCAATTATATATATAGGATGTCATAAGTATTTACTTTTTTTTTATTAAGCCACCTTAAAAAATCAAATATAATTTTATCTAATTTCATATAAAATCTGAATGACACAAAATTAATGCTTTAGAATTTGATTTAGATTTGATTTTTTTAACATGAACATGTAACTAGAAAATTGTTTACAATAATTATTTACCAATACTTTTTAATATGATTACATAAAATAATTTTATCTAATTTTAAGTCATTTTCTTTAATTCTACATTATAATAATACTATTTTATTCTTAAATAATTATTACAAACAATATTTTGTTATCTAAACAACAAGTCAAATTCATTTTCATATAATTTACAGTTCATAAATTATTTAAATTCATTAACTGATATTAACATAAAATTACAACCCAAATCCACAATCACTACTCTCTCAAACCAAAATAAAAACTTAAAAAATAAGATAAGTTATGGTATCTTATTTTCTTATATATATAAAGATGTATAGATTTAGAATCATAAATAAAAAATAGAGGGGAGGGTGAGAATCTGAGGCACGGAGGGGAAAGTAAACAAAGTGTTGGTACGTGTAATGAATGTTTTGGTGAATGGGAGTTATGCTAAAAGAAATATTAAAACAAGAGTTAGTTGGATTTTGTAGGGTGATATTTGAAAAAGGTTTGAGGATGGAAGAGATGTGAAATATGAAATTGGCATTGGGTGAAGTGGATGAGGAATCAAAAGATTCTCTTGGAATGGAAGTTTTTAGAGAATTGAAAAGGGAAACCGGGGGCGAGTTTTGTTGGATACCATGAATGGAGTCATGTTGGTGGTGAAGTGGCACGTGACCCAAATGCCACTCAAGCAATGCGTTAAACTAATAGCAATGCGCAGCCAGGGAAGTGTGCCTTAAACTATTCCACAAGTGGCATGCACCCACCAATAACATCGCATCTATCCCTCTATTTATCTATATTCATTATATTTGCTTATTGCTACTTGCTTCTTCTTGGCTTTTCCAAATCAACCATCAACCCTCCCTTTGCTTTTTCTCCCTTTCCTCTCCATGTATCCCTCCTCCTCCTCCTCTTCCTCCTCCTCTCACTCCCTCACCCACGCCGGAACAGGCCTCACGCGCTACGGCTCCGCTCCGGGCTCTCTCCTCACCACCACCGTCGATGCACTCATCGGGGGATCACGCCCCACACCCACCCCTTACTATTCCGGAGGAGACTCCTCCGACTCAACCTGCAAAGACCAAACATCGTATCACAACCACGCCTTAGGATCCGCCTTGCTCCGTCAGAAAAGCTCTCCCGCCGGCTTCCTCTCCCATCTCGCCTCCACCACCACCACCACCACCACCACCACCACCACCAATCACAACCACAACCACAACCACAATGGTAATTCTCTCTTCCTAAATTATTATCATTGTAAATAATTACCATTTTAGGCCAGGCCCACTTTTCTTGGAGGCCGGGCCCAATTGTCTGCCTACGTGTCTTATCTTTGCTTGTGTCTGTGGATTCAACACAGCAGCGGGGTTCACCATCACACGGGGTTCTCGGTTGAAGTCCCAGTTGAGCTTCACGGGTCACTGCCAAGACTCTCTTTGTGGCGCCGATAACACTAACAATGTGGTACTTGCTGATCATACCACCTTCGGAATCGAGCCCTGGGACAGTTCTCATTCTCATTCTCATTCTCACTCCAATTCCATCGCCTTTTCCGCTCCCCCAGCCAAGCGCTCCAAAAATACCAACTCCGACGATCAGGACATTCTCCATTGCCTCAATGCCTTGGAATCTCAGTTTAGTCTTCCACAAACCTCTCTCGAAATGGCAACGGTTGAGAAGCTCTTGCACATTCCCGAAGACTCCGTCCCTTGTAAAATCCGTGCTAAGCGAGGCTGTGCTACTCATCCCCGCAGCATTGCCGAGCGGGTAATTTCTCAACTACTCCGACCTTTTTACTCTCTCATTCCTTCTTATTCATTTCCCTTCCATTTCAGGAGAGAAGAACCAGAATAAGTGGAAAGCTCAAGAAATTACAGGACCTTGTACCGAATATGGATAAGGTATTATTGTCTTTACTGCTCTTCTTCCCATTTCTATTTCTGCCTCCTTCTTTTCTGATGTTCTTTCTAAATGATTTTAATTAACTGTAGCAAACAAGCTATGCAGACATGCTCGATCTGGCCGTTCAACATATTAAAGGTCTTCAAACTCAGGTTCAGGTCTGTAAAATTACCTTTTTACCCTTCTCTCTCCCTCTCTCCGATACTTTTTATTCCCATGCCTATTCACAAATTATAAATTAAATGCTTCTTACATATGAATGCATTATTCAAACTATAATGTCTTCATTCATGGTGTCTTTTACATGTTTGAACTAGAATTGGAAAACATCGGTAGTAAAAGGTTACTGCATTTTGTGTATAATTTCTGTAAATATGATTTTTATTTTTTTTTGTTTAATCCTGTGAATTTCAATTAAAATTGTCTTTTTGCATTGCATCTTTAGACTGAATGAAATGCGACACAGGGCCCCTTTTTGTCTGATAAACTGTCCCAACATACATGACCAAATGCCTCCTCAATTTATTCGTCGTAGGAATTTCTTATTAGACTTCTCCACCAATTAATTTCCCTGTAAAATCTCAAAATTGTTAATGGTTGTCCAGCCTGGAACTTCCTCGGCTGCTGATGGAAAAATAGTGCATTATCAAGCTTAAGAATATTTTAGTAACCTTAAAACGTGTGTAAGCTCTTGAAAACAAACAACTTGCTGATATAGCGCAATGTTACTGCCTTCACTTGAGCTTGCCATGCTATCTGGCCACTTCAAACAACATTTTTTCTCTCACGTAGCGAGCACCTTGCCACACTGGCAAGCCAATCTGCAACCAAGACCACTAGCCATCATCATTAACCTGTCACCCAATCCCCACTTCCTTCTACAACATACCAAGTGAACTAACATGAAACGTAACTTTAATAAACAGTTTCAGATTGCAAAGGAAAACAAGTTGTCAGGAGGATTAACAGTTTTCCATCCGCAGAGCCAATAAACCTGGTCTCAAACCCTTAACCCTGCTCCGTTCTCCAAGGTTGACATTGCACTCTAGCTCCACTAGGATTCAGACAATCACTTTCTATCCTTTGAATAATTTTGAAAAGTTCCACAACTTTTTGTCTTTTCATGAGGGGAACCAGACCAATGTTGACTAATTTTAACTTCCCTTGCTATACGGACCCCTTCATTGATACTCCCCTTAAGTATACATTTAAAACATAATCTGTACGTCAGCTAGTTTTATCAAGTAGAATGATCTTTTTGTTGCATACTGGCTACTGTAATATTTTATATTTATTTATAAGCAGTAATGCATCAACAACAAGCTTTTACTATAATGTTGGTTACCCAGTAATGTTTTATATTTATTGTAAGCTGTGATGCACTAACAAGAAGCTTTCACCACACTTTATACAAGAGGAGACTACTAATGAATTATTTAGTCTTTAAAACGGTAATAACCTATTAATTTGTTCTTTAACATGAATAAAATAGTAAAACAGTCCTTAAATTTGTTCATTAATTAATTTGGTCATTTAAAATACAAAAGATTTAAAGATGGTCAAATTCATCTCTGACATTGATAAATGATAATACGGTCCTTAAAATTATAAATTATCAATTAATCTAGTCTTTAAAATTGTAATAGTAAAATAAATTGATTCCTATTTATAAAGATTTAATTACAATTAATTCTTTTAATTTACTAACCAAATATAAACCTACAAAGGGTAAAAAAGTGGACTTAAATCTTCTTTATAATTCAGATCAGTTTTATCTTATACAACTTTAAAAAACTAAATTGATTGACAAATTATAATTTTAAGGACCATTTTATCATTTTAAGGATTAATTTGACCATTTGTTACATTTTGAAGAATTAAATTTATGATATTGTACATTTTCAAGGATCGTATTGTTATTTTATTAATTTCGAAAACCATCTTATTATAATTTTAAATATTGAATTTGAGGTTTGCTCCTTTTAACTGCTTTTTTTTATTTCTATTACTTTATCACTTTCTATCACAGTACTCATCTTACTGAATATTTAGTTCTATTACTTTATTTTCCTTTAAGGAAAATTATATTCATACAACCAGCGTATATAACAGTTCATACAAATAAGAGGACATAAAAAGGGTGTGTTCTTTAAGTTGTTGTATAAATTTTTGCTACGAATATGATATTTCTATCACATTCGAGGTATAGGTTGAAGCTGTAGTTTTGTTAACAATTGAATAAGAAAGGAGTGGATGTGAAAAGTCACATTGAATCATTAACCTAGTAGACTGTGGTTTTCCCTAGTCATGATTCCTGAATTATTTTCGTTGTCTGTATTATAAAGATTTTTACATATCATGAAGGATAAGAATTACACAGAATAACTGAAGCATCAGTTATTTGTTGATCTTGACAACAATATTTTTTTGGCTTTCTTTCAGAAGCTTCACAAAGAACTTGAGAATTGCACCTGCGGATGCAAACAAAGCAAATAACTTAATTTGTCTAAGGAGATTCTATGGCACGTGCATAGAAGTCAAGGTTTTGATGGCATAGCAGGAAAACTGAATTTTGTACCAACCTACTTAAATGAATAATGAAGGACCCGAACGTATGTAGATTGTCAATTCTACAATTGTACAGTGTATGTTGTAATATTGTAGTCTAGAAAAATTTGTTCGTTTTCTTCAAAAGTTGCCTTTCAAGGGTACAAGATGATTTTCTTTTGTTTATTCCTTTGTTTTGGTTAGTATGGTACGATGAGTGTTAAACTTATTTTTTGGAATCGAACCAAGACTCTGCGATATGCCTTTCAACGTC